TACCTTGTGCTTCTCAAATGCTGTCCAATCATAAAATAAACCATCCACTCTCATGCCTCTACACTTTTGCACATGCTGCATTTGTCTCCCCCTTATCCATTTCTTCAAATTCCAGTTCTGCTATTCCTTCCTCAAGAGAGCCTTGTCTGTACCCCAAAACCAAGGTAGTCTTTTGTCTGTGGTTTCATATCATTTATTTCATACCTCTATTAGTCATGCATTACTGTGCATGCTTGCAAGTTTATGTAGCATTTTGGTTTCAGATAATTTGAGAAATGCCATAATGTACATGAGCACAGAACTGTATTAAAGGTGATGAGAAATCCTGAAATAAAGAAATCTGTTTAACTTTCTTTAATGCAGGGTTTTCCCAGTTTATTTGACCACATATCACCCTTGTGCTCCATATAAGGATTAGGGAAGGACATTTTGGGAAAAGTTGGTTCCTATAAACTCTTTGAGGTTAATGACTTTCTTTTTTTTTTTTAAAGCATTTTTTTTTTTTTTTTAAACTACACTTTGAGTTCTGGGATACATGTGTCAAATGTGCAGGTTTGTTACATAGGTATACATGTGCCATGGTGGTTTGCTGTACCCATCAACCCGTCATCTACATTAGGTATTTCTCCTAATGCTATCTCCACCCTGCCAACAGGCCCCAGTGTGTGATGTTCCCCACCCCGTGTCCATGTGTTCTCATTGTTCAGCTTCCACTTATGAGGGAGAACATGCGGCGTTTGGTTTTCTGTTCCTGTGTTAGTTTGCTGAGAATGATGGTTTCCAGCTTCATCCATGTCCCTGCAAAGGACATGAACTCATCCTTTTTTATAACTGCATAGTATTCTGTGGTGTGTATGTGCCACATTTTGTTTATCCAGAATGGTTTTTTTACATCACCAGGGTATGCAAGAATGTAAATATAAATACATGTAAAAAGTGCTTATTATGTGTTTGTTGAATGAGTGAAGGAATGAATAAGTGATCAATGAAGAAGCGTAATTCTGGTGTTGAGGCTCTGACTGGATAATCCCATAGATTGCTGGAAGGTAGGTAGAAGATCTTCTTAGACTTCCTCCCTTCAACCCTCAGGTCAGCTTCTTTTTCAGCCCACAGTATTGACATATGGGTACCAAGCAATGCTAGTGGGAAAAGCTGCCTGCCTTGGGGAAGTATTCTAGAATAGCCAAGGAAGAAGAGGAAGAATGGGAAAATGGAGAGAAGGAGATGGGAGGGGAAAAGGGAATAGGAGAGGAGAGAGGCAAGTGCTTATATCAAGGGTGGCAGCACCCTACCAGCAAGTCTTAGTGCTTCTCAAGGATGACCACACCACTATGCTTACGTCTTGACCCTTCTGGTCAAGATATTAGAAAATCCAGGGCCTCTTTTTCTCAACCCTTTGTTCCTTTAGTTCTCCTTTTCTTCTAGTGCCAAATGCTGTGTGCTTATAAGTATCCAGGAGGGACTCAAGCCATTTTGAAATAGATCTCACTGAACGGTGAATTTGGAGATTTTGGTAAATAGCATTAGGCAATGAGAGAAAAGTAAAATATTGGAACTCAAAGCCATCTTTGAATCATTGAATTCAAATTGCTCATTTGCAGATGCATCAATGGAGACCCTAAGAAGTTGAGGGCTTAGTCAAGGTAATAAAGTACTCTGATAACTGGGCCTGGAGCACAAGTACTTGGACTCCTAGCCTGGGGCTCTTTCTCTATCCCTGGGGACACAAATACAGTCAGAATATTCTATGACTGCAGATGGGTGTGAGGAAGGACTAGGAGAATTACACTCTTCAAAGGATGAATTGCACTCAGGTAACATAGTCAAATGGATGATTTGACACTAGTTCATTGGTCTGTTGCCTCTTCCAAGAAATGTATGTTCTCCCCAGCCAGCTGCCTCTTGCCATCATTGAGGATGAAAAATGAAACACCAAATAATCACTGAATCATCATATTGGTTACCCACAGGGTTTGACTTTGGAACTAATTTTTAAATGATTTGGGAAAAGTTCTCTAACACTTCCCCATTGTTAAATTTGCATCTCTGTGCAACTGTGATAATGACAGGAGAAATAATTGCTATTTTGATGCATCAGCCTTTCAAGATCCTTTCTGTTCCCTGTATTAGATTCTTAAGATACGACAGAAAAACAATCTCAAAACTAGCCTATTGTCACACATGAAGAAAGAGTCATCTGGCTTTTCTTTCTTCAAACCCCAAGAGATTGTTAGTTGCTTTACTCATTTACATAAAGCTCTCAAGAGTTGGTGACATTTTATTATTTTGAGTTAACCCAACTGTCTTTTAAAATACTCATGCAGATTCATGGATTACTTTGCCATGACTGGTTATCATTCACTGTACACAGAGCACTTATTTATAGTGTGGTTCCTACAAAGGGCCCCAAATGAGGATAGGCCACTTATTTATAAGGTAAAAATATGGGCTATCCATAGAAAAACTTCAATCTCTTGTCACTGTCAAAAGTGCTAAACAGCACTTTGGGAGGCCGAGGCGGGCAGATCACCTAAGGTCAGGAGTTTGAGACCAGCCTGGCCAACATGGGGAAACCCTGTCCTTACTAAAAATACGAAAATTAACTGGACAAAGTGGTAGGTGTCTATAATCCCAGCTACTTGGGAGGCTGAGGCAGGGAGAACTGCTTGAACCCGGGAGGTAGAGGTCGCAGTGAGCTGAGATCACACCACTGCACTCCAGCCTGGGCAACAGAGCAAGACTCCATCTCAAAAAAAAAAAAAAAAAAAAAAAAAAAAAAAGAAAAAGGCTGAACCTAGATTTTAAAGGTAGGAAGTACATAAACATGCTTTTTTTGTCTTATCTCAATTTCTTATGTAACTGACCCCAGATGCATCTGAAGAAACAGTTTCTGGGGGATTCTTCTGTACTCTTGCTCCACCTTTTTACTGTCCATCTACTGAAATAATCCCTGTCATGTTAATCCATCTAAAAACACTGCTGTGATGGTGTCTATCCCCTGCCCAAACACCTGTGTGGCCTCCCATTGTCAATGAAATAAAGTTAAAATCTCTTACCTGGCATTCCAGGCATTTTCAAATTTGCCCCTGCACTGCTTTCTCAGCCACATCTCTTCCCCCATCCACCCCTCGTAGCTACCACCACTGTATCATTGCTCTTAGCTTTTTCTCATGTTTGTCAAAATCATACCAATCCCCGAAATATGGTTTACTTCTTTTATCACGTCTTCTAGGACATCCAAGCAGTGAGAGGCCTCTTTTGTCTCTGAATTCCCAATACCTTTCTTTTTTGGTGGGGGAAGGAGACCACTCTTATTGCACTTGACACATACTGCCCTTTGTTAACATCCAGTTGTGATAAAAATCTCTTTTCCTTTCTTGAAAGAATCTTCCTTGAAGCTGGGAAGGGGCCATAGAGGATCTGTCATTTTAATTGTCATTTTCCCCATTATATCTAATGCTGGGTCAAATTAATGAAAATGCTAGATTTAAAGTTGCACTTGTTTTAAACAGGCAAGCTCCATGAGACTCCAATCTTTTTACTTGTAGTTACCTATAAGTAACTTATTCTAAGAAGCCTGAACATGTTGTAAAAGAAAAGAAACTTGTCAAATGAAGGTTGCAAAATAGAAGTTGGCCAAAAGGACCTGACCTACAAATGTGTTTTATTAGCCCACACTGTGATTTTAGAAAACATTCACCAACTTTTAAACATTTGGGAAATTTCACACACACAAAAATCCCCTGCCTTCCTAATGATCTTGAAACATCAAAAGATCTAGCAACCTGGGCTTGCATTCTCACACAGCAGCAACTCATTAGAGCCGAGTAGCCTTTGCACAGGGTCTCTGCTATCTAGTTTGCTACAGTCCTCACCCAGCCCACATGTCATTTGCTTATACTGTCTGCCTGGCTGTTACAGGTGACTGAACCTGAGATTCGGGATATAAAGGAGAAGATAGAATAGGAGCAAAGAGAACAATAAGGTTAGGATGAAGATGGTCTAGAGTCAAGATAAGCTGAAGGATGAGCACTTTTGAAAAAAAAAATTGGAGACATGGTTAAAAATATTCAGATGAAGAGAAGCAATAGTGAATGAAGAAAAATGGAAAGAACCATAAAAGGTCATCATGTCTTCAGGCATGGGGACACACTGTCACCATCAGCAAATTATTGGGATGAGTATATTACCTCAATATCTCTGTGTAAAGGATCAAAAGAGAAAAAGTTAACTGTTTGCAGCAGAATAAAAATTCCTGTCTTGTTCTTGTTGAAAAGCCAGCCGCCAGAAGCTTCTTACTCTTTGGAGACCTTGGAGTCGAGGATGAAATGTCTTGCAACTGTGGAGAGACCTAGGCTTTTCCAAAGCCTACCAGGGTCCAGGTGAGAGCAGTGGTAACCCACAAGTAAGTAAGCCCTTGCCCTTGTCTCTCTTCTGTGGAGGACTTCTTCTCAAAGCTGACTTCTTGCTGATAACACAACCTCACCTCGCATTTTCCTTGCAGAGAAGCAGCCTTCTTCGCCACTAGGGGGGCCTGTTGCACACCACATTCAGAGCTAATCAGCAGTATTGGCTCACCTCACTGTCACTTGGGAAGTTCCTAGGACCCATTCCCATCCTTTGATCTATTTTCAGTGAAAAGTAACCTAGGATTATTCCAGCCTTGTCTTTAGAAATGAGAAATATTAAACAAATACACAAGAAAGTAAAGCATAATATGGAAATGTGAAAATAGAAGACTAGGACACAGGTGAAGGAAAATCTTTATGGGGTGGCCTTCCCCGTAGCTACAGAGCTCACAGGTGCAGTTTGTCTCTACCTCCCTGTAGATCCTTCCCTACTCTTCTGCCACACCTCCTGGTTCCTACTTAGTTCCTACTCACCCTCCTCCCTCCTCTCTTCCCTATTGACAGAAGCCACAGCTAAGTCAGTGAAGGAAGTGGGAGGAGACAGCAGAAAAATTTATCCTGGGAAAAGGACTCCATTTGACCGCAGCTCACCCAGTTCACTCTTGAAGGTGTGATCTTGTGGGAGAATGGAATGGACATTCCGAATACTTCCTCCTCCAACAAACCAGTTCACGTTGGGATTCCAGCGGTTCACAAAGCCACAGAGATGATTTTCTTCAAAGTCACATTCTGGGGAAGGGAAACAATAACACTGCATGGACACACAGTCACAGAGTTTGCTCTTAGATATTCAGAAGTTTCTCTCTTCCTTTGCCCACTGTGACCTTTCTACCAGGACCCCCGCACAATATTGGTCAAGAAGAGAGACAGATCCTGTAATAAATCAAGATTCTAATTCATCATTGGCCCTTTGGATTATGGCCCTTCCACTTATTAGCCATGTCGCTTGGAGAATGACTTATCACTTTTTGTAGCCTCTGTGTCTCCATATGTGAAATGGGGACAATGTTCCTACTTCACAGAGCTATTGTAAGTGTGGAGAGCTCCCAGCGCAGTGCCAGGCATGTGGTCAGTGCTTGGTACAAGTCAGCTGTTTTTATCAGTCACCTCTGTCTCAAAGCACTGTTCAGGGTTATGCTCTTAGCTCTAGAAAATTTTTTCCACAACCCTTTCTTGAATCTGGTAGCCCAGTCCTCCTTTCCTTTCTCTTCTCATGATGAACAAGTTGCCCAGAGCTGAGGGGCATGTGTCCGAGATGCTAAAATTCCGTTTTTCTTATAAATGAGAACCCAGGCAAAATAGGTGGGACAGATCTATCCTAGGTTCTGGGTTCCTTTTGCAGCTACTGAGTGGAGAAGAGAGAGAGGATAATCAGACCCTCCTCTTCTCTCCTTAGTGTCGTTGGCATGTTTGCGTGGATATATTGATCTTCATCAACAACTTTTCCTTAAAAGGGAGCAAGAAACTCACAAGCTAATGCCTCCACTGACCCTTATAATCATGCAATTAAACTAGGAAGTATAATTGTGCTGGCCATTGGCCCCCTGCAGATCAATTTTGCTCTTCTCCACCTGATAGGTCCTGCAGAGGTTGACCTATCTGAACTGTATCAATGGGCTCCCCTGCCTTCCATCTCCCTGTTGGATTCGACCAATGGAAGGTGGAAGGAGAGTGAAATCAGGGGTTTAATTGCGCAGCAGTCTCCCAGCCAGGTCGCCATGGGTTGGCAAATCTTGTCAAGCAGTCCTCACCAAATAGCTATTGTTTACAGGTATTGGAAACTCCTCCTCCCTTGTCCTTTCAGGCCAAAAGAAGACAACAGCTCATGAATTATCACTGTTACTAGTCCTGGGTCACAGAGCTGTCCCTTGCTGGCTTCCTTTACGACTCACAGTTTGTGATCTCTTCAGTGAGCTTCCCTCAAATTACTCAGGTTGAGTGTATCCTGTTTCCTCCTTCCTGCCAGGATCCTGACTGGTATAGTCAGCAATGTGTTTTTACATTAGCAAGCACTGAAAATTTCTAAGATTTTCATTTTCAATGTTTCCACCACAGTGTCTGCTAACCAATGCCCTAACATTCAGTGCCAAAGGCTGCCTAAGAGTAAAATAAAAAGCAAAATATTCCTCAATGTGCCAGGCTTCATTCTGAGCACTTTACATAAATTAACTTATTCAATCCTCAAAGCAGCCCCATGACATAGGCACTGTTACTAACCTCATTTTACAGATGAGGAATGGAAAGAGACAGAGAAAGTACCCAGAAAGAAAGAAGTGAGAGCATGATCATAGAGTTTAACGAGTTAAAAGTGTTGGCATCCTTTTGTTTCAAACAAATCAGAAGTCACCACATCATTTGAAGAAAGGCAACATGTCTTGGATGCCCAGCACTGTATATACCAATCATCTTCATAGCCACGATCTCATTCCACCTCCCAAGAATCCTAGGAGGGAAGCATTTTATTCCCATTTTACAGATGACAAAGCAGAGGCTGAGGCTCAGTAAGCTGACTGGGCCAGCAGGTGGCGCTCCACCAGGGGTGTCTAACTTGTCTGTCGTTTGCAACCTTTTACAGATGCCAGGTGGGAGCCCAGAGGGAGGCTCAAGGAAGGGAGCCTGAGCCTCACTGTATCTTCAGAAAATGGTATATTTTCTTTCACTTGCCCTAGAGACATCATTGAGATCAAAACAGAGAAGTGAAACTTCAGGGGATTAGCAAAGGCTTTTTTGTTGTTGTTGTTGTTCAGAACCTTCTTTGACTGTCCTTTCTCTTCCCCGCCACATTCATTTAGCCTTCAAGAGCTGTCAGTGCTGAAAAATCTCTCAATTCTACTGCCTTTTTCCGATTCCACTGCTAATTCAGTATTGCCCTCATTAAGCCCCCTCTGTAAGGTCACAGCTGCTTCCTAGGGGTTTTCCCACCTGGTGTGTATCTTCCTTGTACCCAACTCATCTTCCACATGACAGCTGGAGTCATCTGAAAGTGCAGCTGCACACTTCTCCCCTGCTGGCTGACCCATATGATTCAGCAGGTCCAAGCTCCACATCCTGCATCCACACTTTTCCATCACAAACTCCCTTAGCAGTCTTGGTCTTCACTTCAAACACCTTACTCAGCCTCTTCCCTTTGCCTGAACCTGCTCTGTTCTTTCTCCCCACAGAAGTCTGGCCACAGAGAACCCTTGCCTTCCTCCACTTAACTAAATTCTTCTCCTTCTTGAAACTCCAGCTCCAATGCATTGTCCCTATTCGGTCCTCTCCAATTTCTTCTCCTCCTCCCTGCGCCCCCACTGCACAACTTGTCCTTCCTCAGCAGTAGTTATCATATACAGAACTAGCTTCAGTGTAGACAAATATAAACTGAACCACCATAGGACAGGGTTTACCCTTTCTTTATGCCCTCTTGGAAGCTGGCACATAAGAGACAGCCAACCAACTCTTCTCAAGTGAATTCTAAGTGACAACTGTGATTATTAAGAGGAGGGCAGTGGTATGCCAAGAGAGAAATGAGGGAAAGAAGATAATACAATGTCTGCTTTTCTGGCACTTGCTACAAAAAGCTGAGTTTCCCGCAATTTGTAATTATTTTAATCAGAACATGTCAAGGTTAAGGTGGCAGCTCTCAAGTTACAGTTGCTGCATCTATGTTTCTTTCATTAATCCAGACAGTACAGGCAAATTCTAATGAGCCTTCCCACACTAAAGACAAAACAACATACAGTATTCAAATGAACCTAGCAAAGAATTTAAACCAGTATGCATTATGCAGTGCATTCTATAAAATACTCGGTCTTTAGGATTGATTCAGTTCCCTCTGGCAACAGTAGCTTTTAGAAAAAGATTCACAGTTTGATTTAATGAAAATGAAGCCCACTTACCAATACAGTAGCCGGTTGTCATCTTGATTTCAAACAGTGCAATGCTGGCTGTGTTTCCCTGTCCTAGTACACCTTCTATTAAAATCTGTACAACATATGGGGAAGAAGGGGAGTTAGACTTCAAAACATCATGTTTCCTTGGTTCAGTATTTCAGCTGTTAGTCTGGAGCTGTTCAGCCATTCAAGGCAAAACAGGATTGTTAGTCTCAGCTAATTGCTATTGGATACCAATTTCACTATGGACTTTACTAAAAGAATGTGTGTGTATGTATATGTGTGCATGCGCATGTGCACATAAACTCATACATCAAAACTTCGAGGTGAGTAAGGCATCTGATAGAAGCTCAGAGTCAGCTGTCTTCTCTTCTATTGTTATCCCAACCACCACCATCTTCAGTACTTGTGGTAGCACTTGTGGTCCTGTTTCTGAAAGTAATCACTTTTTCTCCTGTGGTTTTAGCCCTATATTCTGCAACTATGCTGGCAGATTTAGGAGGTGATAACTGCTGGGAGGATGTTGTAAAAGAGGGAACTCAGAGACCCCATGCTCCATCCTCAACCACCAGCTGACAGGGAAGGACTCCAGGCAGAAAGAGGGTATTGGAGAATAAAATATTTCAAGCTTTTCAAAGAAGCAGCAGGATGGGATAGGAAACTGAAAGGTGGATTAGGAATGGGGAATGTTTTCATGATGGCTCCATTGTGTCCTTGATGAAATATTTTCAATAAACATCACACTTCATGGCCAGGTGTGTCTGGATCCCATCCTCCTTCCTTATCCAATCCACACCCAGCATCACCTTATATTCTCTACTTTCCTTTTCCAGGACTCCCAAAGGAACACCTTCCCTCTTTGAAAAGGAAATGGAACATATCCTTTAAGTATTTTCTCTCTTTTAAAGTATTTTCATTTTCATTTTATTATAGTTAATGTTTTGTTCAAAATTTGTAGCAAAGAAATGATTAAGATGATAAACACATAGCACACACAGTTTAGAAGGATGAAATAAAATTATAGAAATGAGAATACTCCCTAGAAGCCATAGAAAATCTATTTTCATTGAAGAGGTTGGTTTAAGCCCCATTTAGATTTTTACAGAAGGCTTATTTAAATAGATGGGAAAGAAATCTGGGAAGAAGCTCTTTCAAGGAATAAACAAAATGTTAAGTTCCATTGCTAATATTCTTCTATGGTATGTATCCTATGAAACATCACATCAAAATCCAGGAGATAACTAACCTCCACATCAGAAATTTTCATAAGATTTTAGAATAGTATAAAGCAAAGATAAGAGGCTCTATGTCTTTCTCCTAAACTCCACCTACCTTGAATTTCTTGGAACTGTTTTGCAAATCCAAGCTGGCTATGAGCCAGCTGTCTGAAGGTTCCTTAGCTGACCAAAGCAAGCGATCAAAGCTTTCATCTTCAAATCTCATATAGAGGTTCAGCTGGCTGGGATCTGACAGAGACTCTGAAGATGTGGTTATCTGGTAGACCAAGCGGAGGCAGCTCCATTCCTCAGCCTGTAAGTCAGAACTTAGCAGCACAGCTTTCTCCCCCTGCTTGCCAAAGGAGGTATCCACATAAATGTAATGACCTGGAAAGAGAAAGGAACACAGGAAAAGGATCAATTTTTGGTTTGCAACCTGGAAAAATATGCAACTGCAGTCAAGTCTCTGGGAAGATAAACCTGCATATATATTTAGTCAGCCCACTGGAAGCTGCCTGAACACTGGATCACTGGCCTCTTTTGAAAAAATTGAAAGCACTGAGGCCATGTTACCAGATGATGACAACAGGCTGGAGCTGAGTGGTGCTGCCTCTTCAGAGGGTGGCATGTGGTCTCCGCTTTGCCATAATTGCCATCACTCCCTCTTCACTCCTGACACTGAGTGTCTCTGCTTTTTATTCTTTTACACCAGGCCCATTTAGCACATTGCATTCATCTCCCTGGTCCCCATAGGCATATGTGTCTGCAGGCTGAGGGACATCAGAATCAGAAGAGCAGCATGACTGAAGTCAGCATAACTAGGTGGACTCAACCTTCTCTTTACATAGCTCTCCCCATTACCTAATGCTTCAATCTGCATTTAACTTGCATCATTATGTAGACTGAATTGATTTGGTTACCTAAGCCTGGATCTTGGGACCTAAGCAGAAAAAGTACCTTGTAAGCTATTTTATTTTTTAAATTAGGAATAAGACTTCCTTCCCTTGACTCTTCCATGACCAAATTTCATAGTTCTGAGAACTAAATGAGGAAACACTTGCAAAACATGTAGCACAGGGCTGGGAAAGCACTGGACAGTCTGAGACTAGTAATCGTCCTTCCTTCTCCTCTATCCTCACTTCTCCTTTCGGATTCCCTCTTTCCTCCTTTCTCCTTCTCCACCTCACTTCTGTCTTCTTCTTCCCGTTTCCCCATCCTTCTCCTCCTCCTTTCCTTTTCCTCTGTTCATTCTCTTTCCCTTCTCCCTCTACTCTCCTAATATTGACCAGTGTTTTCTGCTGACTGTACAGGATGTGAAAAACATTTCTATTAAAAAAGGTGGGGCACTGAAACCAAGAACCTTAACTCAAGCCTTCCAAACTCACCTCTGGCCATCTGGTTTCCTATATCAATGATCCGATTGCCTGTGGGTCTTTGGGGACCTCCTGGGCCTTTCTGGCCTGCAGATTCTCATGCTTTCTCAGAGGGTCCCACATTCATGGCTGTCATTTAACCTGCTGTCTTTCATCCTGTGGCTTCCCCCTCCCTGTGTCTGCAGTTCAGTCTCCCTAACCTTAAACTCTTACTAGAAAGGATCCGAAAAGACTCTTTGTTTTGCTTGATGTTCTTCAGCCTGTCCTCCCACGCTTGTTGTCTCAAATGCCCATCCCAGCCTGGATCCTTATCTCTGTGGCGAGTACTGACAGGCCAACTGGAGCTCAGATGACGGCCATCCTCACATGAGGGACACAGTTAGGGCACTGTCTTCAGGGATCCTTGTTTGCCGACTGAAGGGTTTCAAGATCAAGATCTAACTCTTGCTGGCAATCTTCTTAACATAGCAACCGCCCACTGGGTGCAGATAGCAATTGCTTCCAGATGCCAACCAAGGCACCCTTGTGGAGAAATCTGGCCCTTGCAGCAATTGCTGCCACCACCATACCTCCCACATACAGGCAACGCTCACTGCAACCCAGGCCCAACTACTGTTCTAAGTGCTTCACACGCATTTCCGAGGTGAAAGGCTTGTTGGGTTTGACTATTCTAAGCCAGGGCTCTTGAGGCCAACCCTTTTTGGATAAAAGTGCTGCTTCTTGTGGCATGAGGAATGTATTAGTGCCATCCTCTTTCCCCACTCTTTGCTACTGTCCCAAAAGAAGGGACTTCAAGCAGGCTGGATTGGGGGAGATCACATGAGTACCTCAAACCTTTTCCGAGGAAATAGAGAGTTGGGACATGGAGTATAAAAGAGGAAAGAAACAAATAAAGACCTTGCTATGTCCTATCAACATTCACATCAAATACCAACTTTGCTGCCATGGGAGGCTCAATTTTCCCTGGGCACTTCCCCAGCCTCCCCTTTTCTCTCCCTCCCCTTTTCCTTTCCCCACTCTAGAAAGGGAAAACTTGAAGCAATGCTCTTAAAGTTGAGCCCAGAGTCACCTGGAAATCTTGTTCAAATACAGATCCCCAGGCCCACCCCTCGAGTTTCCAATCCAGTAGGGCTGGGGTGATGCTACATTTCTAACAGATTGCATTTCTTAGACGTTCCAGGAGATGCTGATGCTACTGGTCTTTGAGAACTGCTGACTTACAATGTATGACAGGTAAATAGGGTTCATTCTCCAGCCACCTCTCATCTACCAAAGAAAGTGCAGGCTCCTGTAGCATGTAAAGGAGGGAGGCAAGTTCTGCTGGAAGGTACAACTCAAATTGAAGTGAATGTGTGTTACAGCAGGTGCACAGAGTCCATCTGCTGGTGATTTGCTTGGCTTTTCAGTGAGTGCCATAAAAAATTCTCTTGATATTCTCTCTCACCTGATCAGATTTTGCTATAAGCGTATGCTAATGTTCTCTTGTCAAGAACCTTTGAGAGCACACACTGTATAAAATGTACTATTTAAAATAACTAGATTTTATTCTGTGTGATGAAAGTTGGTGCTATTCATTGAGTGATTTTGACATCTTAGCCATAAATGTGAGTTATTTTAAAATATTAGAATTTTGCATTTAAAGATCTCATATTTGTTTTTAGGTCACGCCATGTGAACGTGCCTATTAGCTGCATTACAGTCCAAGCAAAGATGTATCTACTCAGCTGATTGGATGCAATCCACTCAGCAGAATGATGGATTTTCCTAGACCTAATTATTAGCTCAAGCGCCGCCCACCTCCACTATCACCGCCAACTTCAAGACTAATTTTCTAAATTAATCACTACATTTTCCAGACCTGCTCTGGATACAGCCTTGGAACCCTTCTAAATATAGTGCTCCATGTAGCCACTGCCAATCAATCTGAGTTGGCACTTCAGTTGAAACTACTTGTTATCTCTGCTTGTGGCTTCAGTGTAGGGGTATATTTTGTTGTCATGTTATAGCTAAATTGAACTAGAAGGAACATGGCACGTTTTGAAGAAGTTTTAGAAAATATAGGATGAGGAAGATATTAATGTCAAGGATGTTGCCTTTCCCTGCCTTGTCACTAAGAAAATTGCTATTCTAGAATAAATGTTGAGTTCTTTTTACTTAAAAAGAATCATTTTACCACCGAGTGAATTAATGAAGTTTTCTTTGGGTGTAAAATGTTTTATTTATTCCATTTTAATCAGATTGATGTTTGGAAGTTAACTTTAGACATAATTCACATTCCATAGGATTCACCCTTTTAATACAATTCAGAGGTTTTTAGCATATTCACAAAGTTGTGCACCATCACCACTATCTAATTCCAGAACATTCTCACCATAACCCCAAAAGGAAACCCTGTATCTATTAGCAGTCACCCCTCATTCTCCCGACCCCCAACCTCTGGAAACCACTGATCTACTTTCTGTTTGCCTGAACTTGCCTATTCTGGAAACTTCATATGAATAGAATTATATAATACGTGTCCCTTTGTGACTAGCTTCTTTCACCTAGCATAATATTTTCAAGGTTCATCCATATTGTAGCATATATTAGAATTTCATTCTTTTTGGGGGATAATATTCTATTTTATGGATATACCACATTTGATTTATTCATTCATTAGTTGGACATTTGGATTGTCTCTACTTTTTGACTATTATGAATAATCCTGCCATGAGCATTTTTATACAAGTGTTTTTGTATACAAAAATTTCAATTCTCCTAGGTGTATACCTAGGAGTGGAATTGTTAGGCCACATGGAAATACTATGTTTAACTTTTTGACGAACGGCCAAACTGCTTTCTCAAGTGGTTGCATCATTTACATCTCCACCAGCAGTGTATGAGAGTTCCAACTTTTCTATATCCTCACCAACACTTGTTATTGCCCATCTTTTTTAAAATTATAGTGACGCTAGTAGATGTGATCTCTGGTTATGCTTTTGATTTGCATTTCTTGAGTGACTAATTATGTAGAGCATCTTTCATGTGCTTATTGGCTATTAATGTACATCTACTTTGGAAAAATGTCTGTTGAAATCCTTTGTCCATTTTAAAAATTGGGTTGTCTTTTTATTGTTGAGTTATAAGAGGTTTTATAAATTCTGGATAATAGATCTTATCAGATAGATAATTTGCAAATATTTTTTCCCATTCTGTGCTTTGTCTTTTCACTTTTTTTTTTTTTAAATGGAGACGGAGTCTTGCTCTGCCGCCCAGGCTGGAATGCAGTGGCGTGATCTCGGCTCACCGCAACCTCCACCTCTTGGGCCCAAGCAATTCTCCTACCTCAGCCTCCCAAGTAGCTGGGACTGCAGGTGTATGCTGTCATGCCCGGCTAATTTTTTTGTATTTTAGTGCAGACGGGGTTTCACCATGTTGTCCAGGTTGGTCTCGAACTCCTGAACTCAAGCAATCCACCCGCCTCAGCCTCCCAAAGTGCTAGGATTACAGGAGTGAGCCACTGCTCCCGGCCGTCTTTTCACCTGTTTTATGGTATCCTTTGAAATACAAAATTTTTTAATTTTGATGAAGTTTAATTTTCTATTTTTAGGTTTTTTTCCTGCCTTTGGCATCATAGCTAAGAAGTCATTCTCAAATTTAAGGTCATGAAGATTTACAGCTTGTTTTTTTCTCAGAGTTTTATTGTTTCAGCTTTTACATTTAGATCTTTGATCTAATTTTTGCCCATTGAATTTTCTTGCCACCATTGTTAAAATAAACTGAGGATAGATGTGGGGTTTATTTCTGGACTTCTCAATTCGATTCTATTAATCTGTGTTTATTCTTATGCCAGTTCCATAGAGTCCTCCTTACTGTAGCTGTGTAGTAAGTTTTGAAATTGGGAAGTATGAGACCTCCAACCTCATACTCATTTTCAGGATCATTTTGACTATTCTGGGTCCCTTGTATTGCCATATATATTTAAAGATCAAAATGGGAATAATGTAGAACACCATAAAGTTCACTGTTTTAACA